TCTGCAGGGAGGGGTCTATTGTCAGAACAAAACACAGGACTCTGTCCCTTAAGCATGTCCACATCACTGATTGACAGACTTACCCTAGACAAACAGGCTCATTCTACTGCCCTCTGAACATGGCCTTTTCTGCCCAGGCCTTGATCCTCCCTGTGATGCTTTTCCTGTGGGAGGGGCTGACTCACCTGTGATTTATGATATTTCAAAACGGTGTTGTCATAAAAACAAGTGGCTTCTACTTCTAAGCTATTAATACTGCCCAGGAAAATGCTTTCTGAGGGAAATGAACACAGCTTTGTGTATTATGTTCTCCTAAAAATAACATTGATCAAAATTGTGCTCTTTGTAATCTTATGCAGATTTGAGTTTGTGCTTTGAATTCTTTCCAGTGAGTTCAATCACTTTCCTTGGGCCTTCACTTCTTAGGTCTGGCCAACAGATATTATCTCAAGCTCCTTGGTTTACAGCAGTTCTTTCTACCTACCTAATAATTCCAGTGAGTTCAATCACTTTCCTTGGGCCTTCACTTCTTAGGTCTGGCCAACAGATATTATTATCTCAAGCTCCTTGGTTTACAGCAGTTCTTTCTACCTACCTAATAAAGTCCCACTGTCCTGCTGTAATGATGACTTTTAACTATCCCTCATTCTCCTTGAGCTACAAGGCTCACTCCTTCATTCCCTCAGCCACATGGCCAAGACCTGGAGTTTGGCCTTGCCTCTGGCTTACCTGACTTTGAAACCTTAGACAATTTCTCTAGTCTTCCCTGGATTCTATGTGTCCCCTATCCCCTTCTCGTAGTCATATATGACTCAGCCCAGCCATGTACTTTCCTTCGCCTCAGGGTGAAGACTGTGTTTCCCTTCTCTCTCCCACAGGCTTCATCTGCATCTCTGCATATACTGCAGGTAGTAGCATGGACTCCTATCCCTGCCTCACCTCTTTCCTCAGAGTCTTGGAGAATTAGAGACTGTGTGAACCCAAGAGCCACAGCCAAGCAGTCACTCTGTCACTGGAGGACAGAGCTGTCATTAGCACCCCAGGGCACTTCTCAGGGAGAATGCCCCTCTGGGCTGTAAGGAAGGTCAAGGCTGATTTGTCCTTTGTCCTGTGACTTGGGACTCTCTGCCAGGCCCTGTGTTTGGTCATCATTGATAGCCATTCAGGGAAATGTACAATTATTTTATCTTTGTACAAACAGGCCAGTGGAGGACAGACCTTTTTTTCATAGAAAACTCCCCAGATCTCGAGTTCCAGATGCTACTTAGCCTTGCCTCCCTCCTCTAGAGTGCCTTCCCCTTCCTTACGTCCCTTCTTTCCCTAAAGTCATTTTGTGCTACACAGCAAACATGGCAATTCCCATGGCAACTACCTTCAACACCTCCTATCTAGGATAAGTTATCTTTTCAAGATTCTCACTTCTCGTTATAGAAAGCCCTGTAAAACAAGAATAATACACCCCCTCACAGAGTTATGGAGAAGAAATACTAGTGGCCCAGCTCAACTACACCCCCGGTACTATGCTGGATGCTTTACAAGTTATGCTGGATTGGATTGTGGCCCCCTAAAGTTTCATGTGTTGGAGGCCTGGCCCCCAGTATGATAATGTTAAGAGGTTGGGAAATCCTATTGTGGTAGTTGGAAGGTAGGGCCTTGAGGAGGTGATTAGATTGTGAGGACTATACTTTTATGAGTGGATTGATCCATTCTTGGAATCAAGGGCATGGTTTTGAGGGTTTTAAAAGGAGGAGGAGGAGTTAGCTCACTCTCTGTTCCGCCACTCTACCATATGAGACCCCTGTGTCACTGTCACTACCAACAAGGCTCTCACCAGATGTTTCCTGGACTTTGGACTTCCCAGCCTCTGAAATTATAAGCAATAAATAGTGTTTCTTCATAAGTTACCCAGTTCCAGGTATTCTGTTACAGGCAACAGAATCAGAATAATCTACACAATTACCTTATGAGAGAGGCCTCCCTGAATTCTGTGTCTCCCCACATAGAAACAGATTACAAAACTTCATTGTACAGATGAGGAAACAGATGTAGAAGTACTGACTAATTTGCACAGGAACATCCAGCTGATAAGCGTCAGCATGGGACCTGAACTCACAACCATACCCCCACCTGCACCATTCCCACAATATCACATTTGCACTGAGGTAAAGTGAGATAAAGTATTTGGAAATACCTAACAGTGCCTAACACGTAACAGGCACTCAGATACCTACCAGGTTATGCACACAATAGGCACTTAGTACATGCTAGTTCCCTGTCTCCTTTTATAGCCACATCACCCTCTGTTCCAGACAGGAGACAGCGGGGGCTCAAGACTGAACACATCTAATGAGTGTATCTTGTGGTCCCTCCAGAGACATGTCTCTAATCAGAGCTGTATTGTTAGAATGGGAAAATATTCATATAGTTAAATCTAAACAGATTAACAAGATCTCTCACTGTATCAGAGCACTTTTCCTCCCTCTCCTGTCTCAACCCAGACTCTTGGCCACTGCAAATATAGAGTTAGTTTCACTGGTTGCTCAATTTTTTGCAGGAAGACTACACAGCAGCTCCTCAAATGAGAATCAAAGAAATGAGAATCATTAGCACCAACTGGCCCTACTCTTGTACTCAGCCCTGCTTCTCCAGGAGCAGTGATTTGCTTAAGATCAAGCAGCTGAGTAGTGGCAGTACCTGTGAACCAAAATGGGGTCACACATGTAAGCAGGCTAGCCAGGAGGTCCCCAGTCGCCATGGCTGAGGACAAGACATGGTGAAAGAGTTCAGAGCAAGAGCTCTCTGTCAGAGGCAAACATGCTTTCAGGTTTATCCTTAGCTCTTCACAGCCACACTGCTGCCACCTAGTGTCTAAGGTCCTCAATGCCAGCCCTAGGTGTAGAGCTGTGTGCTCTGCAGTGAGGGACTCCAGTGCCTCTGGGTCACAACAACCCCCAAACCTGGTATCTGGGAAATAGCACAGGGAGTCAGGTTGACATCTCAGTGAAAGAAGCAGAGATGGAAAACAGCCCTAAAAGTGGTGCTAGCAAAACCAAAAGACACAGGACTGAAGTATTTAAGCTAAAAAGTGGCCAACTGTTCCACCTGCCGTTGTCCATCTGGTCACCTCAGGAAGGCCTCAGGCCTGCCACTGCATGGCAGTTTATGGCTAATGAGCTTGGGTTTGGTGGCGGCATTTGAGTTTTTTGACCTGTACTAAGGGCAGGTGTCCTCAAAAATGCCTCTTAGGAACTTCAGAATGTGTGAGGGTTGTCTCTTTTCCCTCTCCCCCACCCCTACTTCTCTCTCTCAAGCTGAATCAAGGCAAACTTGAATTTCTGATTATGCAAAATATGGTTCTAACTGCCAAAGATCCTTTAAGACTTAGCTCAAACTACCACCTATGTCATGAGCCATCCCTAACTCCCTAGATGGAAATATGCACTTCCCTCTGGAGCCAGTTTTTTCTGTAATCACTTCTTGACTTTGCTATTTATTAGAATCAGTATGCTCCAGGTCTTGCTTCCTCAATTAGAGTGAGGACACTCCAGTGTTATTGCCCACAGAGCCTAGCTTGCCTTGCACACAGTCTATGTGCAGTGTCTCACAGAATGAATGGCCCTTGGTGAATCATTTTGTGAAATACAGTATTCCTAAATTAGTTTGGATTATATCCAAGCTAATCTGGGGTCTGCCAGTGAGGGTTTGTGGGGTCTCAGGGTTCTTTCCCTAGAACCCAGCCTAGTGCATTCAACCCTTGGGTTCCAAGCCTATGCGCTGCACTCAAAAATGCCTAACCAGCGACCCATCCCAAAGGTAAGGATCTCTGCCCTGTTCCACCTCTGTGCCTACTAGTTGATCAGGAATACAGTCCCCTCAGAAACTAAGCAAGTGCTAGAAAAAATATATACAGAATATATATAGAAAACATAAGCCGCCCTCAGACTAAGGAATGCCACCCAGTAGTGAGAGCAAAGTCTGTCTCATCTGTACATGTCACCAGCAGGACCCACAGGTGAGCCTACTCTCTGCTCCTTTCCACTCCCATCCAGACCCTAGGCCAGTGCCTGGCACCCAGCGGACCCAGAATAATTATTATTAGTTCAATCACCATGAAGGTAGCAAGACCCCAGGCCTCATAAAAGGTCTTTTGTCAACTACAGACCAGGGGACCAGCCAACCACTGGTTTCTGCCACACAGCAAAAAGACACTGCCTCACCAGGAGCTGGCTAGACCCCGAAGAAAACATCACAAAGATAATTCACTTTCTAGAATAGCTACCTAGTAGCAAACACAGTGAGGTCGCCTTGGAATCTACCCTCTGCCAACCAAGGAAGAGAAAGTCCTCAAACAGCTTATTTAACCACTCAGGCTAAAGGACAGATACAAGAGGAGATTCAATGGCTTCCCAAGTCACCACAGCAATTGCTCCAAGTGCAAACTTCAACTGCTGTTCCAACCCGAAGGGGAGAGGAGAGAGTGTAACCATACAAATCACATTCCTGCTGTTCCACTTCCACCTCTGAGGAGACGGCGACCCTCTCCCTCCATGTATGCATCTTGAAGGTTAGCATTCTATCAGAACTGTGCTGTGAGCAGACAAGCCAGACAAGCACACAGGACCTGTCCCCATTAGGAGCTACACTCAAACGTTATACAAATGTTGGTCCGTTTACAAATTCTGAGAACATCAAAGATGATCAGAGCTGGAAATGATCTTGGAGACTGTTCAACTCCCTACTCCCTTTACCCATTTTACAGATGGCTTAGAGAGGCGACAGGATGTCCCAAATGACATGTACAGACAAAGGCACAGCAGGGCCAAGAATCCGGGTTGCTGACTCTGGGTCTAGTGCTCTTTCTACCCTACCCTATCTATGCTGCCCCAGGTTGTAACAATAGTAACTTGATCTTGGGAGTATCCCCTGTGGAACTGGGGCCAGCTGTTTTCATTGGTCACTCAGTCACCACACATAGAATCTATTCAGTGAGGCTTTTGTGTGTGAAGGGATTCCTTCCAATAATACCAGGATCTCTATTTCCCAGCTGTGCTTGGCTGTGCATAGCCCCATTCAGTCTTGGTAAGACTGATGTGTCCTAACTGAATGGATTTATTTAAATTCTGAAAATAAAATACCTGGTACCTGCCCCTTCCTTCTATGTTTTATAGTGGTTTCTCCCTTCTTTTGAAATACCAAGGAATTTGTCATTAGGGAGGTAGGCGGGGTGCAACCTGTCCTCAGCGGCCTGTGGGCTGCCCCTATTAGCACCAGCAGGTGGTGCCACTGAAGGCCAGGTCATAACCAGAACAGGAGGTATAGGAAGTCCATCTGGGGTGCTCTGCTCTCAGGTGCTTTTAGTAGGAAGAAGTTCCCTGCAGGCCTTCAAAGCGCACTGGGAATGGTTCCCCTCCTGAGGCCTCTGGGACAGTGCATGGCTGGACTCCCAAGACGCAGGTTGTGAAGAACAGGAAATGATCCATATGGTGGCTTCTTTCCTCTATGCCCCACCTCCCAAAAAGCCACGGCAACCACACCTCCATCTCCTTTTTCATGTGTGCTTTAGAGTCTCTGATTCTATCATTGGGACCTAAAAGAAGCCCACACGTGGTCTCACAGCAGACATTGAAGTTACAGACGGTAGACATTATTTTCAGTCCTTCTGGTGGCTGTATACCAGATATTGTTCCTTCCTGTGTTTGGCCCACTGTACACAGTGACATGCTCCCACGGCCCCAGCACAGACGGTAATGGGAAACCCTCCATGGGCCAGCGTCTCCAACTCCAGCCCCAGTCTACCTGGAGGCCCTCATCTGTGTCCCACAGCTAAAATGTTCCCTTCTTCAATGCTCTGCAGCTGCAGCCTCTGACTGGCAAGAGTTCTGCTGCCTCGGCGGCCCCCAAAGCCAGCCCCAGGGACAGTCCGTACTGCAAACAAGACCCCTGGCAAAGCCTCCTCCCCAAATAAGTTGATTTTGGCTTCAGCCTCAATGGCTTTGGCCAAACTGGCTGCGTAACTGTCCAAGGACTTGTGTACTTCGGCTTTCACATGAAGAATAGAGTTCTTGGCAGCTTCTAAGGAAGAAGGCAGAAAAAAGGTTAGCCGAGGAACCGGACCAGTGACTCTCCTGGGCATATGCCCACTGCTGCTTCACTGCCCGAGGAGGGGAGGCAAACTGAGGTTAAGGGCATGGGTTTCAAAATCAGATTCCCTAGGCTAAAATCCTTGACTCCTGGACTTACTACCTGGGAAATCTTAGAAGTTATTTAATCTAGCCTCAGTTTCCTCATCTGTAAAGAGAAGATAGTAAGACAACTCTTACTTCATAGGGTTACTGTGATAATTAAATGAGATCATTCTTTCTAAGGTGCTTAGCCTAGGTCTGGCCCATAGAAAAGGCTTGATAAATACTTTCTATTAATGCTAATCAAAATATTTTACATCATTGAAAGGGTTTTCTGGTCTTTCAGCTCCCTGAAGCAGTGTAATATCGATGGCTATAAACTTCCACAAACACAAATGTCATGTCTCTCCTCTTCACACTTGCTTAGAGCTTCCTTAAAGTCATGGAGAATCTCACGGTGGGAAGTTACAATAAAGTCTCAAGCACGCTACGCAGGATAAGGACCCCTGACAACTAGAATGAACAGAGAGGAAGGGAGGTGGCTCGTCAGTTTCACATCCAGTGCCTTATTATTATTAACCTCACCGCCTCTTTTCTCCAGATGTTCTAGGGCAACAATTTATCTTCTCCTCCTCACATTTTCTGGAGAGCAGGCAACTTGCACCCTACTCTGCAAGAGGGAAAGAGTAAAGAACCCTGGCCTCTAGCCGCCCTGCCACTCGCCAGCAGGCGAGGGGGCTTCCCCTGCTGTGCCGTGCTCTCTCACTGCCCGCGGAGAGGCGCTTGCAGAGCCGCACCCACAAAGCAGGGGTGAGGGGGCAAGCTTGGTCTTTATGTGGGCTGGGGGCGTTGGGGAGGCGTTCAATTTATTTTTTCTATAGAAGAGTAATACATGATAAAGCCATGAGCCATAGTCCAAGCTCTATTCTCTGCTTTGCCAGTGTAGTGATGATTTGTCATCTGCCTCTCTGACCTCCGTGACTGCTTCTCCATTTGTTCTGAAAGTTGGGGAAGGGGGTGGTAGAAGAAATGTGATTAACTATGAACCTAAAACTCTGACAGGGCCCACACTTATTTTCATATTCAGTATTTTGGAAGAACTGACACCTTAAAGTCCCTGGACATCACCACATCCACAGCCCAGTCATGTTAATGGCTGTCCTCACTTGGCAGGACTCAGGAGAAAAGAGTCTCACATCTCTGGGCAGCCTGGCTGGCTGCTTTGTCACAGCATGTCCGATGGGAAACTAACCCCGAGTTCCAGAGGCAACAAGGGTGCTGGGGATTGAGTTGAGAACAGGGGAGTAGAAAAATGTAGGGACTGGACTACAGCAGAACTCGTGCCCCTCGCAGGACTCTAGTGCCCTCATCTGCCTCTGGGGCAACAGAAAATCAAGATGGCAGCTTCCACCTCCAGCAGAAAAGGCACGCTCATTGGGCCATTTTCCACAGGAAGAAACTGAGGCTCAGAGGGGGAAGGTTCAGATTTATAACTGCACATCACCCATAAAAGAAGGAAACTGGGGGGGGTTCAGAAACTTTTATCCAATCAGGCAATTTCTGAGGGAGAAGATGTGACTCAGGATCTGGACTCTGTGTGCATCAAGTTCAACAGCAATTGTGTGCCCAGTGGGAGATGCTACTTGCTCTGACAGTTAGGATGTCTAAGGGCTCAAGTGAGACAGCAGAGCTGGGAGTACTCAGGGGGTGGGCAAAGGTGGTGGAGCCCTAGTATGTCCTGGTGTGGGGCAGGGCTGAGCCAAGGAATTGTCTTAAGATCATTTCCTGTCTTCTCTGTTTTCCTGAAGCAGTCAGTCACAGAAACCAACCTTTGATTTGTTCCACCTCATCCTCAAACGTCACTGAGCTCCTTCTTTTGGGTGGGCAAGTACAGTGGGAGGGAGGGTTGTCATCAGATGTGTAGTCTTCAAGCAGCATCATGTCCGTCCCTAAAGTGAAGGACAGGTTGTGCATGTACAACCAGCAATACAAAGTCCTCGCTGTCCCCTCTGTCAATCTGCTCCTCTTCTCCTTCTCTCCCTCTCTCAGCAGCCCCGTATCCCTCTCTCCCATTTATGCAAACCCATAATCAGTGCAGCAACTGCCCTGCAGCATTTGCCCAAGAAACATCCCATCCATCATTCCATTTCAGGAGTTTGCAGCCAGCGTGGCTTCAGCCACACACAAAGTACAGCCATGTCATCCAGAGCAGGGGCAGTGTGCCACCATCAACACAGCACAGCAGGGGCACATCTGCCAGACCTGATATGCAGGGAAAGGGGAAGGTTGAGTGGAGGAGCGGGTCCTGTTAAGAGGAGCTTTGTATTCTGAGTGGTTCTTCTTACAGTCTGAATTTCTATCGCCGTGGTTAAAGCATGTTGTGTTGGATACAAATTTAAAACTTGAAAATGTAAAGTTCTTTGGGGATCAAAAAAGGATTGAAAAATCTACCCTTCCCCAAGAAAGTGGGGAAATAAAGGCAGAGAGTCAGGGAAGCCCTATGAGAAAGAGCTGGGCAGAGCAGGCAGGGAGGAGATGGGGGCAGAGGGCAGGGAGGGAAGGAAGGGCCCTCATCAGTTCCCTGGCCCGATACCAGGACGAATGTTGGGACCAGCCTTGTTCTTAGTTTCCAGCCTTCAACCCATCAAGGCCTGGGTGATCAGGAAATTAGAAAGAAATGAAAGCCTGGAGCTCCGTGTATGCAGTTCCAGAACACCTTGCCTAGAAGGAACAGTCCTTTGGCAGGCATTAGAATATGGTGGTTAAGCACACAGGTTCCAGTTGGACAGACCAGGATCACTGGCAGGTTATTTAACCCTTCAGTGTCTTTCCACATCTGTAAAATGGGGATCATCATTCAATCTGCCTCATAGAGCTGCTGTGAGTTGAGACATGTAAAATGTAGCACAGTGCATGGCACACAGCAAAGGCCACATCAACGGAAGTCATTATTAATAAGGACACAGTGAATAAATGGCAGGGCTGAAGCTCACACTCAGGTCTGTGTGACCCCAAAGCCCATGCTCCTTCTGCCTATAATGCTGTCCCTTACTCCCTGTGCCTGGCCACTTCCTGTTTATTCTTCAGGTTTGACATCATTTCCTCTGACAAACCTCTCCTAACCCTCCTCCCCTAGTAACTCGTGTCTCCCTGTTACATGTTCCCACAGCATTCCAGCTTCCCCTTCTGTAGCTCTCATCACATTCACAATGTTTTCTTAATAGTTTTACTGACGTATAATTCACATACCATACAACTGCCTATTTAAAGTATACAATTCCACGAGATGAATGTCTGTCTTCCCACTAAACTGAAAGCTCCAAAAGGGCAGTTTCACCACCACACCCCCAGAACTAGCACAGCGCCTGGCCAGAGCAGAGGCTCAGCAAATTGCATTTGTTCAATGAATGAATGCCAGGTGCTTCTGGATCCCTGCTGGTTGCCTTAGCATGGGGCTGTAGCCCAGGGAGTAACAGAGACCTTCCTTTACTCTAAATCACATGAGAGACTCGGGTCTAGAAGGGAAGGTGTGGCCAGTGGTGTATTATGTGACTCAACGTGGTGTGGGACCCTCTGGGTTGCCAGGTGAGGGAATGTGACAAAAGGCCTGCTCTCGATGCCAGCCCCAAGGTCTGACCCCAGAGTTCAATGACCTGGCAGCCTCAGAGGACAGCAAACAGGTCAAGGCAGAGATGATTTCTCCAAAGCTCCCAGCAGTAGAGAGAGAGAGGGGGGCTCGGAGCAAAGTACCCACTGCCGAGCTTGCTGCTCCGTGTTCCGGGATTCAGCACTGCTCCTTTCATGCCTGGCACACCCACAAACGCCAGCCCCACGATGGGGAACAGACATGGCTGGGTGCCCTGGACGTGTTTCTTCGTGTGGACTGAGCTCCTCAAAAGGAGCTGGGTGTGACTGATGATGAGACTGGCCTGTGGAGGGCGTGCTCTCTCCCGGGACCGAGCCGAGTGCCTTTCTACCATTACGCCTCTTAATTCTCACAACTGCACTTGGATAGAGGAATTACTACCCCCATTTCACAAATGCAGAAACTCGAGGCTTAGAAAGAGATTAAACAGCTTGCCTAAGATAACACAGCTCGTAGAAAGCCAATTGGAGACTGAAAACCAGGCAGGTTGACTCTGGGGCCTGTACTGGCCAATGGCTATTGTAATCAGGTAACAACTCATGATCATTTCACATTTTAGCTTTTTGAAGGCTTCCACTTGCTTTCAACCTCCCAATAGCACTGTGTGGCAGAGAGAACGGGAACTAAGATCCCCATTTTATAGAGAAGGAAACCGAAGCACAAGAACAGCAGGAAAGATAAAAGCTGCGACTGGAAACCAAGACTCATGATTCTTGCTCCCCGTGCCCTTTCCACACACCATGGGAAAGACCCCTCCTACCAGCTCCCTGACCTGCATCAGGGTGCACAACCGGTGAGAGGCTTATGAAGCATGGAGGTTACCTGAGTCCTGAGAGCAGCTGAAGCCAGTGTCCCCGGTGCTGCTGCTGTGCCCCAGGGGCTGTCCACCGGCCATGAGCGCTGTGAGGTGTGGGGACAGGCCCAGGTCTGAAAGGTAAAGTTGGCACTGAGGGCACGATCACACA